CGAAGAAGGTCATAGTCCGTGGTGAGGCCAATTTTAATTATATTTCCACAAGTAGTTCTCGATTAAAATAATGCAACAACTTCTTTATACGACTGCAAAAGCTTAAATCTATTTCAATATCGATTCCATTCTCTTGAAAGTTTTAGTTACAAAATCTCTGATAAACTTTTTATAAAATTTTTTATAAAATTTCTGATGAATTTGATAACAATTTTTTTTTTCTACGCAGAGAGAAAATTAAGTGTACATAACTTTGACGCATTTTGAATATGAAACGTATTGACAAACTCAAAATTAAAAGTTTGATAAAATAAATGAATAAAACGGAAATAAAATTTTCAGCATCGAGAATTGCCTGTATTTTATAGATGGTGTAGTTATTTGAATGCATAGTGTATAGCGTGGCGTATTTTATGTGATATATTACTCGAATGTGACATATATCGCATGATTTACGATGTAAATTTTACAATGCCATGTGCAATATGTGTACAAAATTGGACTTTACTGAAATACCCGTGATTCGATTTTGATTATGTTTTCGATTGTGTTGAGATTTAGTTTCATACACGACGTGTCGCACTTCACGCTATTTCGATATTATGTGCACAACATATTAACGTCGGATCTACTACTTCCGTATCGTGCTGAATCGTAGGTCAATTTATCATAATTATCCATCTACCCTTTGCTTAAAGACAGGTGTCCTCGATAGACATGGGGTGCTTCGCTGTAAATTACTGTCCGGCAAAATCGAGAGATTACCAAAAATAAGGGCCGCAAAGTGTTTACTATTTATGTTCTCGCTTTTACACAAGCTACAATAATTTCGATATTTTCAAATTAGAAATAATTGTATTACCATTTAAACATTTATCTATTTTGTCAAATCATTTTTTTTTATTTTAAAAATAATCATATACATCTTTTCCGGGATTAAGATACAAATTTCTATATGTCAGTCCTCTGGTTTACTTTTATAAGTGCCAATTTTGGCTAATTTTTGTCGAATTACGACTTTCAGGAAGCGGTGGGAATCCATTCATCTCGCACTCGCTCTCGTGGTCGAGAAAATCGGATATCTCGCCGAACGGTACGATGTATGCGAAAGTTTGGACGCCGGAAGATCCGCGAACGTCCAAAAGTGGGACGACGTTCGAATAGACAATTTTGGTGGCCAAACTAATTTTACTTACAAATAAAAGAAAAATGAACACGTTGTTTGGTCACAAGGACATGCCTCATCTCGCGTGTTATTTAGTGTCTAAGGAAAAGCGTTTCTAGTCACTGGACCTAGTCATGCGATTTATATCTTTCAATCATCGAAATATCTCCGATTTTTGGACAATAGAGGTAATCATTATTATTTATTTATTTATTTATTTTTCACCATTTTATTGTGAATCAATATGTTACGATAAATTAAATCAGTTATTGCAAACGTCATAGAAAAGAACATTGTTTTGCGTATAAAAAAGAGACAAAATTTTCGCAAATGCATATTGCTACTTTGTTTACATAAAAAGTATTAATCAAAATAAAATGTAATTTTAATATTTATTGCATCAATTCAAAAATTTAACAAAACAGTTTTCTAAAAAGTAATAATAAATTTTATGATTTTTTTATCTGTTTTTCTAAAATAGTTAACCAATTTTGTAATAACGGATTCAACTTTCATTACTTTTTTGCATAATACAGTTATGCATCTGCATATCTATGGGACATTTTTACGAACGTTCTGCGGAACGTGCTTTGTAAATAGGAATTACCGAAATAGATGAATTAATGGAATAAGCACTATTTATATATAATTATCGCGACGTAGGTGAAATGATGTGCAACCAGCATCATTATCGCCACTGTGAATAACAACGCCAAATAAAGGTAGTTCTGAAATCGTCATGTGTGTCATTCACCTTGTTGGCGCGAGTGCAACTCGCGTGTCTTAGAGATAAAAAATTTGCAGATAAGTAGAACTTCTGACAATAAACATTGCAATCTGAATTTTTTTTATATTCCAATTTTTCGACGAGCTAAACAATATGCCTTTGTAAAGCAAAAATCAAATCGAAATTAAAATTTCTTTAAGAAAACTTGCTTCGATTTGGATTAAGAGTGAACATTTTCTATTTGCTTTTGCAAAGATTCATTATTAAGACTCGCGTAAGCATGTCAAATGTCATTAAGGAACTCATTCAAGGTCTATCATTATCTGCAACGGAATTATGCATTAGCGTTTTTAAGTCGTTGAATTTCTTTTGTACCTCGCGAACGCGGTTGGCAATTCCGTGTCGAAAAGAGAAGGCGGTAAGATGGCTGAAATCGCTGAAGGGTTGATAACAGAAACATCCCAAAAGGGGCTTCTTGTGTTCGAGCGGGGGATGTATTCGGGCACAGAGAAAGAGAGACGGCAAGGAGAGAAAGAGAACAGGAAACGAAGGGAGAACGGTGGTGGGCGGTACGTCGATATTGCGGCGTCGCGACGCCCTGCGACTCAGCAGGGATAATGGCGTCGACGGCTGCGAGTCTTCTCACGATGCCGATCCTCCCGTTCGCCCTCCTCGTCGCTCGACGCCGAGGCCCGAGGTACGTCCGAGTTCTCCTTCTCGCTTTCACCGCGTTCCAGTTGCCATTGCGGAGCGATTATCGCACATCATTATCGTCATTAACAACTTTAAAGCGGCAAACAACGCGGAAGATAAGAAATCCCGCAATCCCGCGGTTGCGTTATTACGCGCTCGCACGTGTCATTGAAACATGCTTCGGTTTTTTTTTTCTTTTTATCGCGTGATGATGTCGCACGGCAAAGTAAACACTAGAATTATTATTAAGTTACATGTATTATTGAATGTGTAAATAATTATATATGTTACTAAATAAAGATACAAATACTCATACATCTATACTGTTTGACGTCTAATAAATTATTAGACGTAAAACTTAGTATTTGATAAATTGTTACGAAAGTTTTAGATTTTTTCAACGGAAGAGAGTTTAAAATGTGAAAAGTGGGCCAGCTTTATTCCGAAATTCGGAATTATCGGTCAGTCAGATTCGAATAAAATGCAGCACGTGAACCGTGTTGAATCGGAGCGCGCGACCCGCAGCGCAATGGGCCACTATCAGCTGTGAAAACAGCGTTGTTTATAGACACCGTGGCACAATGAGGTGTAATTGAATCCATATTCTGCGGGGCGCGTCGGGTGAAGCCGAACCCTCTCGATATTTGAAGGGGGCTAGCGGAACCCCCTGACCCCCCGCTCTCGGGGAGCCGCTGCCTCCGGGGTGACTGTATTTAACGGTTCGGGAACTCGAGGGTGGCCGTCGATTTGTGGACAATTAGGGACGATTTCGTGGCATCGGGGGTAGGCGAGTTGCATAACCCCCGATCGATCATCAGCTTTTCCTCGTCCGCGATAAGACGCGATAAGTACTGTGTTCGATAAAATGTTTGATCTGCAGAATCTCCAAACTTTAAGATCTGAATTTTTCAGAAGATTTTGGTCTGCTCGTAAAGAAACACTCGAATAAACATATTTTCTCTACTTCTCATTCCCTCACAGAACTGAGGGGAAACTTGAATTCTCTATTTTTATTTTTATCTCAAAAATATTTACAGGAAGACAGAGAGAAGGAATATTTAATAAACTTTCCCGAAAAGAGAAAGAGACGCCACATGGAATTTGAATCGAAATGAAAAACTTCCAGTGATTCTGGGACACCGTATTTCGTATGAGAAGCAAATTCGACCGGCAACGTTCGTAGACAGGAAATAATAATGATAAAGACGATAATGCTAAAGAGGGATACTGGTATCAAAGCAGTTATTATCAGGTACATATATGCCCAGAAAGCAATGTAAGTTGATTTATGCAGTATTCGAGTGACCGAAAGCTTATCTAGGTTGACGCAGGTGTGTCGATACACCTGCTCTTATCGCTTGCGCACTCGATTAGGGCGATTTTTTCTAAGTTGATCTCAAACTAGCACGCGAGTAAATAATAATAATATCTAGCTTTCTATAAATCAATAAATATATCACACATTAATCTAAACAATACAATTCACAATTATTCTTTAATTTGTATAATTATGCAGCGCATAAAAAGTCCTAAAATAATGTTTCTTTTTAGTAGAAATCGAATTAAATATTTGTTTCATTTTACCGTCATAGATGTTGCAAAACAAATATTGCTTTACGATGATCTTAATGTTTATTATCTTGTAACAATTATGATTTATTAAAAAGGTAAAAAAATCTGCAAAAAATTACAATAGATTTTTAATCTAATTTAGATTTGTAATCCGTGATAACCGAAATATCGGTTACAACCGTCCGGAAAGAAACGGTTATTGAGAGGTGCGAAAGTTCAATGCTCCGCATTGAGCCTAATCTGCTCTAACGTCACGGTACGATGATCCCGTGAAAATTAGCAAACCATAGAATCCGGACTCCCCCCCCCCCCGGGCGGCCGCGCATTAAGAGTACCCTCTCGTCGCGAGGGGTGCACTTGTGTTGATCTTCGCAGCTGGAGTGACACACAAATAAAGTATTAATTCTCGATTCTCGTGTCGCAATAATGGTACCCGACATCCGCGCGTTACAACGCGGAGATGTAACAGCGCTCGAATAGAGATATAATAACTTGGTCCCCCCGCAATGTTCTCTGCTCTTATGTATTCTTTTTTGAAATCATTTTTCGGCTATATAATTTAAATAATTTTACTTTATGTAGAAATTATTAAATACGTAAATATAATAGAATATCGGATACATTGTGTGTATAGAAATTATGGAAATTTATTTATTGTGTTGAAAAGTAATTTTATATGCAACCTCAAATTTCATCCAAAAAATTGAATATGTGCTAGAAGATGCTGGAAAATGTCAATTATAATATTGATTAATCAATCGACAAAATTAAATTGCAATTTAAAACATTACCTCTATGCAAATAATAGTGTTTCTCTGCAATAAATATAAATGACAAATGTCTACTATTAAACTATTGTGTTTAGAATATTTTTTTATTAAATGCACAATATTTGCTTTAACAGTGTTGAAGATAATTTGATATGCAACAGAAACGCATAATCTTTCATAAAATTACTAATTAAAAACATTAAATAATTGAACGAAGCACGATTTACATTAATCACAATTGTTTCTTTTATATATTTTGTTCAAATAGTTGCCACGTATATTTGCAAATTATATATTATAGGAGGTAGAAGTTGTTAAATGCACTTTTATCCGCACAAATGAACTCAAGTGATGCAAAGTTGAGTCAAAGAGAGCATCTATCCACCCTTCACCACTGCCTCGGGGGGTGAAATTGGGGCACGCAAATACCTAGGCAGCTGCACCCTTCAAGTGGTTGCTACATGTCCATCCCGAAATGTCCCTCCCTTTCGAAGTCTCTCGTGCTCGCTTTCGCGCTGACATCGTTTACAGTCTTCTGCGAACTTTATTATATTCCAATTATCTCTCGGATTTAAGCCCGACCCGACAAACGATACGCTTTTGAAGAGAAGAAGATACAATCGACAAGACAGTAATATTAGACAGCAGAAAAATAGAAGTAATAAAAGTAAAATAGGAGGGAACTGTAGTAAATGCTTTTTAAGAGATTAATTTATATATAAAATATTTATATAAACTTTTCAGAAACCAAACTCAAACTGATCAATGCTATTTTTTTGCAAATTTTTAAATTTTAGTAGCAAAACACATTATTAATGCGAATGTGTATCAATTTTTTTTATTTTTTCTATTATGACGTTAATTAGTTTGGTTTCTAAAAGGTTCATATAATAATAAGAAAATGTACGAATATTGAAGTGCTTTGGAAATCAAATTAATGATAAAATTATAGTGCGTTGAGAATGCTTGTTAGATTATAAAAGTTGAAAGTAGCGGTTTCTCTGTATTATTAAAATTTATCAATAACTCTCAATATTCTATAATTAGAGATAACTAATCTGATCTCTGCGCATTCGATACAATTCTTGAATATAATACAATTGAATATGATACAATAATTGAAGGACAAAAGTTTCGCGATCCTTCTCGAAACTGATAAAATCACATCGAGCGTAAATCCAGCTTCACCCCGATAAGTATCTAAAATCTGCCGTTAAATCCGGCGTGAAAATTCGCAGTATGCAATCTTCTCAATGAAATCCTATTAGTTCATATTTTACATTGGAGAGTACCACGACAGGCGCTTAATGCCATAACAATGAGTCCTCTGCTAAAAACGATCTGCAGGGGAGAATATCTGCGCGTATATATATGTTTGTATCCAGTTACTATTAAAATGTTTATAAAAATTTTTATGGAAATTGTTTTTACCGTCTTGATAAAAATCTCATAAAAATAAATAAATCTGATAGTTAAATGAATTTAGTTTCTATTCTTCGATTTACACAATTTAATGCAAAGATATAAAGATAGTGACTTGTTAATGAATTAATTATGATGTAGATAAAAAAGATTATGCATTTTAATATAATTTCTTTTTGTCAGTAATCACATTTATACATGTATTATTTGTAACAGCATAATCGAATTAAATAATTATTTAAAATATCTTGAGTTCCATAAATATAAAAGATTATTAAAACAAGGAATTGTTAAAAACAGAGAAACTTGCATACTTATTTGGCTTTATAAATGCTAAGAATTTATACCTAGTTCATATATTAATATAATATCTTAATTATTGTATTCTGTAATTATGTAGTCTGTAAATTCGCTTTTTAATTGAAAAAGACAGGCGATTGCGACTTCCTCTCTTTGTTATTGCAAGAAGTACGTCTTCGGCATTATCTGCGGTACACAGACTGCTCACATGCTTTCGTATAATATTGATTCGCCAGAGACGAGGTCGCAG